GAAAAGGCAAAACAAACAAATTGGTTCAAATTATTGCCTATGTTGATGACTTATTAGTCTTTGCCAGTTCCAAGGAAGAAGCGATGATTGTGTTCAATCATCTCGCCAATCATCTTAGAATAAAGCAAACTGGTGAAATCAACAGTTCGGAACATGGAGGTGGGAGCCTTCGATTCCTGGGACGCACCATTGAGAGAAAGCCAAGCAGTCGGACCCTCACAGTGAAGTTGGATGATACGTATTTGGATAGTGTATTTGAATCGTATCAGATTTCTAATGCAGCCAGCAGGCCACCACCAGATCTGAGACCAATCCTCGATAACGAGAGTAAAGCAGATCCAATTTCGCAAGAAGCTGCTTTGAAATACCGAGCTGCACTCGGGAAACTCAGTTGGATGAGCCAAACCATGGTATTTCTGTGCATTTATTGCGCCTTGTTGGCCACAGGTATGGCCGAGCCGACCGATGCACATGAGCATGCTATGCGAGCTGTGTTGAGGTGGCTTCGTAGTTTAAAGAGCATGCAGCAATGTTTTCCATCACCAGAAGCAAAGCCATTCGACACTGATTCTCACAAACTCATCATGTATTGCGATGCTTCTTGGGCACCTCTCCGAATGCTGCGCAGGAGATCCATAAGTGGATGTGTGACTTTCTATCGAGGATCGGTGGTAAAGGGATTCTCTCGAATTCAACAGATCGTAGCTACCAGCAGTTGTGAAGCTGAATTGTCGGCACTTGCTGACTGCATGCAGGAAGCAATTGGACTAAGTAGAATTTCACAGCATTTCTTCTTTGACACCCATTCGCAGATCACATCTCTCCATGAAGGAGTTCAACATGCCGAAGCTATCCATCGACTAATCAATTTTTTGTTTGCGACTGAACATATCACGGAAGAGAGGCCAAAGGTCGAGATTGAGCGCAGATGTGATTCACAAGCAGCTATCAGAGTTTTGTCGGCTTCAGGACTGCAGCGGAGATCTCGCCACGTGGAATTGCGAATTTGTTTTTGCCAGGACCTTGTAAAGAAGCGATATATCGTATTGACTTGGGTTGAAGGCGAAGAACAAATAGCTGATCTCTTTACCAAAACTCTAGGACTGCGACTGTTTATGAAACATCTTGTGGCCATGGGATTCCACGAGGCCCCAGAAATGTCTGAAGTAATGCCTGAGAAGATTTCGTCCAAAGCCCAATCAGCCAAGAAGCCAAAGGGGGAGAACAAAATCCAACAGCAAGCAGTTTCGTCCACCGAGAAAGATGTCGCAAAGGAACGCGACAGAATCCTCATGCCTGCTGTAGTCTTTTCATATTTTTCCAAGGAGTGTGTCCTCATTGAAGCGTGTGAGATTTCAAATGTTTCTTGCCATGATTTTGCGTATTTAGTGCTGGAAACTGGCTGTGAGAGTAGCTCACATCTGACCAAAACAGCATTCAAAGACTTGAAGCGTGGGACCCTCATTGTCTGTTGTACTGAACCTTCACACCTGGAAGAATATTGGAAAGATATTAAGATATGCTTACAGGATTTCAAGAAAGCGATGAAACCATCATACATACATATTTCGTTGCCTTGCACTGGAGGTAGTAGCCTCCAACGCCTATCAAAGAATGAGGATTTGAAGGCAGAAAGCATGCAGGAATTTCTGAGGTTGATTGGATTTTGTTTTGAACTGATACCGCATGTCCTCCTTTGGTCATTTGAACTTCGCAAGCGAAATCAATACTGGACCAGAACTGAGTTGCAGGAGCTGTTGAAATGTAGTAAACAACCTCTTTATAGCCAGTTTGTCCAATATTGTCAACTTGACGCAGAACCGATCAGCAAGATTCTTCAATTTGTCAGCAACCATCCTTTGATTGTGCAGTCCTTGGCATGCTTTTCAGTTTGCTCTTGCGATGATGGACGTCATAAGCATTTTAATGAGATCAACTGGACAAACACTGAAAGGTATCCCTGGAAATTGTGTGGGTGCCTCATCGCCTCTGTGAAAAGCATTTTCGAGAAAGAGCTTTATGATTTCCGACCGCATGGGCCAGACAACGCCTATCTGATGTGGGACCCGAAACAACCTGAGGATTTTCGATTTTCACGAAAGAGATTGGCTGAATTTCCTATCTCGGCAGCCTGAAACTTAGTGAGCTTCGGGTTTATATGAGGTGACAGGTTTTCAGCAAAGTATTCCAACCTTTGAATTATATAGCCATGGGACATGTTGGATATGAGAAGATTTGAGAAGCAGTGGCGAGCGAAGGCAAAAGATGTCAATTTTTCCTTTAGTCTCATCATTGCAGATCTTTTAAGACTCATGCAATCCCATGTGACTTCCAGCCTTTTGACACTTGCAATCATTTGCACTTCAGTACATCGAATTTTCCCTTGTGTGCAGATCCTCCGCCATGACACGAAAGGGGGTGTGAATATAATGCACCATCTGGGACAGAGGTGCATGTTAACAATCGTGTCAGCGCTTCAGATCCAAAATCTCAGCCGCTTAGGCTTAAATTCATGAAGCATATGCCGTTCGGTGCTCAACACCAATTGAAATGATTTTCTTGATCAAAAACGCCAAAGCACAGTTGATTTTTGGTGCAGAACACACGAAATTTTCTCCTGAGAAAGAGTATTGATTTTTTGGACAGTGATAAGCCAAGTTTTGCACAATTCCTGCCGGAATTGCGAATCCAAAGGTGCAGTGCAAAGAGTGAGGATCTCATTCCATAGAGATTTAGTTTGATAATGTCTGTGCATCTTTGATGCATCCGTCGGTAGACATAAACTTAGTGCAGCAGATGTCACGAGAGCTTGAACTAAATTTCTTGGGAGTGCGTGCTCCACTGCGACAGTCAGAAATATTTTCAGATGGGAAAGCTGCTCACAACTGAGAACAGTTGTGGAAAATGTGAGAGAAACCGATTCCAACACTCTAGACTTTATGCCATTTGCTTGTCTTCAGAAGCCATCGGCAACCACATGTAACTACAAGCATCCGAGCATTGACCTATAGTGCTTAGCGCAGTGCGATTTATTTGGATTGTGCCCGTGCACTCAGTTCAGAGAGTCTCGCAGTTGTGATCTCGGATTTAATTTGCGAAGCCATAATCAGTTGCACATATTTCTCCTTTTTTTTGGTTTTGTGCAATCTTCACATTTGGTGGAACCAAATGTTTGCTTGAATGTTCTGAACTGCAGAAAGAGCCACTTGAGAAGTGGTGGAAACGTAGTGATAGCAGGAAAGTAGACAAGCCAAGTGTCTGAGCGAATGACCATCTCAGCCAAGAACAGTGAGACATAGTTTCAGAATTTGTCACTTAGATCCACTTTAAATTTGGACTGATTTGCAAATTTCGTTCACTGCTGTTCACTCATTGTTTTGCATGTGACACAGAAGAAGTTGCTTGACACCGACTTTTGCACCATAGAAGGTGCTAATTAGGTCAACGTTTGGGTCGACAAGAATTTCCAAGTGAGTAGGCTGTGAGAGAACAGAACTGAAGGACTTGGATCTAACCCAAACTGATGCAAAGAAAACAGTTTTTCATCCTGCCAAAGGCTGGATGTGCTGTCCATGGAATAATGAATTCCATCCCGGAATCTGGCTCAAGGGCCACACCGCGATTATGGAAAAGATCAGAACAGAGATTTCACTGGGAGTGACATCATAAGAACTCACATTTTAAGATCTTGAAAGGTATCTGGTTGACAACCTACTGTTTATCCCCTGGGGCTGTTAAATTCCGCATCATCATCATCATCATCGTCCTCATCGTCCTCATCGTCATCGTCATCGTCATCATCACCACCACAATGTGATATTGACTTTGTCAAGCACCACATGAAGTAGACGTGGCTTTGCTTCGCTCAAAAGAAGATGCTGTGTATTTGCCCATGCGTGTGTCGGTGCTTGTTTGCCCTGCCATGTTGCGGCCACATGTATTGAATGCATTCAAATGCGTCATCCAACCTTCTTCACAGGAGCGAACGCGGGACTGCGCTAAAAGTGAATGTAAAATAACATTGGAAAACCATGGAAAATCATACCCATATATAAATATATATGATATAGGCAATTGCAAGCACCCAGGCTGCAGGTCTTCAAATTTAGGTTCTTTTGATGCTTTTTAATATATATATATATATACAAGTCTTTTTTTTGGGGGGGGTAGATGTCCCAAGTTCCGAGCTTCAAGGTTGGCAACATGTTCCTCGGAATCGGCTTGGAGACCGGGCCAGCGTCAGGGTAGTAGCTGAGATCACTCCTGTGTGGGGAATCGCCATCAATTTTGCCAGCCTCATGTCATTGCCTGGAGGGGATTGTCCGTAGCTTGGGAGGGAATTGCCTGGAATGGCCATATCATGCCATTTGAGCAGTGTTAAAAAACCATGTTGGTTGATTAAATTACTATATGGGTTTTTAGCATTATCATAGGTTGATTATATTAGTTTGGTATGGTTTGGGGTTACTTATTATATCATATCTCACGGTTATATGTTGATTGTAGTGGGTTTTGAGGTTTTGAAGGTTTTGAAGGTTTTGAACGCTGCTCAAATTTGTTTCCCTGGCGCATCTGGCCGAGGTTGGTGAGAGAGAAGCGTGAACTTCTCGGAGCCGTGGTGTGTCAAGTACCCTTGCTGGACATGACACTCGTTTCAGGGTAAGATGCAGTGGACAACATGACCTCACCATGGATGCTTAGTGGGGGCTCCTCCATAAATTGCTTCTTTATGCCGCTTATTTAAGGATTTTAAGGTTTGTTAAATGCAAGTTATTTGCCCAGCTCAATGCTTCCCTATAGATTTGTTCTGCTTGTGAGCCCTCCAGATTCCCCAGAAGATATGGAAAATTATGGAAAGATGAAGCTGCATGAGTCATGAGACTAGTCGAATCTCAAGGGGCCCAACCTCTTTAGCATCAACTCGTCGAGGAAGCGCTACAGCCAACTACTGGCCGGTGCAAGCTGGATGGGGGAGTACGGCCACTTGGCGGGAGTTATTCCTCACTTTACCCCGTGGGGAGATGGGAGGTTGATGGAGGTTGTATGACTCAAGCAAAGCTTGGTTTGCCAAAAGAAGATCATTCGAAACAACTATAAACAGCTTGCCGGTGGATGTTATTTGCGGATAGTCATGGAACCAGCCAGGCATGCATGTTACCATACAGGTCTGGGAAAAAATGGTGAAAGGGGGAAACTAGGACAAGAGAGGTTGGAGGTTGGTTGGGAGGTTGTTATGTTTTTGTTCAATATTGTAAATCTAAATGTGTGACTGTTTCTTTTTGATTATTTTGCTAAATGTTTTGTTGAGGTTGTTGTGATAATGTTTGGTTTGGATGAGGGTAGGTTTTGTTGAGGGTGTTTTGGCTGTTATGGTTTTTAGGTTTATGTTCAATGTTTGTTCCTTGGTTTTGATGTTTTTCTGGGGCTGTTTTTGGGACATTTTAGGTCAAAGTGTTCATGCTTACCTTGTTGATATTTTTTTGCTTGATTTATGTTTTGGTTAGGGTTTGTCTAGGTTGTTGGGGCTATATTCTGAAGCAGTCCTTCTTATGCTCTCCGGTTTCCTTGTCTTGGTTTCCCCAATCACCAACACCTGTGTCAACGCCAAACACATGCATCGTGACTGGAGTTTTTTTAAGGAGGTTGCCAAGTGTCCCATCTGCCTTTGTCGTTTTTCCGTTGTCCTTCCTATGCTTCCTGTTCTTCCTGTTCTTCGCTGACGCCCTCATTTTCAATACGTCGGGACGCCCAATGCTTGGAGAAAGGACTTGTGCGAACTTGTCCTGTGTCATCTTGTGTCATCTTGCGTCATTGTGCAGACTTGCTCTCATGTTGTTGTTATTTTTGTGATGGTATGTGATGGTGTTGATTTTGAACATTCGTGTCTGCCATCTTTGTTTTCTCCAGCAACATTGGGGGCTCAAAACCCCACAACAGCCAAAGGATGCTGGGTTCGTGGGCGAAATGGATTGAGGAGAAAAGTGTGCCCCTCATCTTTGGTAGTGGGGTCAGCGGCTCTGTCATGGCCATTGCGTGGAATGTCACTGAGCAAGACCGGATGGCTCGTGCCGTCCAAAGGGGGCGCTTCCGCCCAGAAAATCCGAAGAACTTGCAAAGGGAGTTCGTAAACTTTGACCTCTCAGCCATCCACCGAGGTCTTGGCGAGAATGGCATGGTGGCTCTCATTGGCATGCAAGCCACTGGGAAGACCACCACGCTCCAGCATGTTCTGTGGGAGAACCCCTTTTTCCTGGATGTCTCCCACGACGATGTGCATCGAGCCATCCACAATGAGCTCCGCAAAAACATTTGGAAACTCCCGTGGCTTCTGGATGGCATGAGGGTGGATTGGGGAAAGACCCACAAGGATGTGGTGACCGAGGTCTTCAAGAAAGTAAGGGACAAGACCCAGAAGCCGGTTCGCCTCGGCTTTGATGTGGTGGCTGTGACAAAGCACGGAATAGATGAGCCGCATGTCTCCAACATCATTGAGGTGACCACGGGCAAAGAAAACCTGCATTTCCCCACCAACTTTGATGCGAAGTTCTTCGTGAAGCAGGTCAAATACCTTTGCGCAGACAGGCATGTGTCATCAGCCCTCATCTCCTCCAGCGAGGGCTTGATGATGCTGTCGGTAGGAGAGCCTCGCCTTCGTAAGATGCTTGGAAGGGAGTTGCCCATCTCCAAGTCCAAGGCATACCTCAAGGCCTTGGGTCAGGAGAACATCAGCGAAGAGATGCTCACCAACATGCCCAGAACCTTTGAGAAGTTGAGGGAGTTGAGAGCATCAGCAGACAAGGAAGCCTTTTGCAACAAGGAGATGCAAGGGTGGGTGAGGACCATCAAGGAAACCAACGGTCAGCCCTTCACAAATGTCAAGGGACTTTACCAGAAGGCCTTGAATGAGCCGATCGACATTGATGACATCAGAGCGGCTACATCCGGCAAGTTGGCAACCTTGGGTGGTGCAGACCCCAAGGAGGCCTTTATCCACCATATGGTCAAGACCAACATCTTCACGCCCCGAGATGATGGTGGCTATGAGTTGCAGTTTGACTGTCAGCACAAGGCGGTCAAGAAGGTCTTTGACTTGTAAAACCACTGAGGGGCGTTTGTAATGTTCAGACAATCACTGCCCAATTGCGGTATCACACAGACAGACACCTTTGGACAGCCTTCATGAAAAACATGTAGGCCTTTTGCGAGACACCTTGATGAGTGAGACCCTTTGCCTTGATGAGCACTCCCTCATTCCCTCAAGGATGAACCCAGTCTCACAAGGGTATGAGCGCAACATCATAGGAGATGAGACAACCCTCATCAGGTGTGAGCCCGTCCTCATCTAGTGTGACCTCATCCTCATATGAGACAACCCTCATTTCTAGTCATTTTTTAGTAGGGATTTTGGATGATGATGACATCATCCTCATATGAGCCTACCCTCATCAGGTATGAGCCCGACCTCATATGATATGAGTTTTTTTTTGTCCAGCGTAATGGGGTTCTATCCTGCCAATGCCAAGGTTTAGAAGACATTGTCTTCATCATCTTCGTTTTCAGACCGAGTGAATGCGTGGAAGTGGAGAAGGGTTCAAGATGTGAAATTGCCAAGCAGACTTCAAAACCTAACGTTTGACAATTTTTTTACACCGAAATTGTGGAGTGTCTGATGGATTAGTCAAGATGTAGTTATTGATGTAATGAGGTAGATATGAATAATCTATGGGTATGGTTTAAGGTTATTGATGATTCTGTATGGTTGTATTTATGGATAATAATTTGATAGCCCTGACGTTAGGCAACAGTTTCAACCAAAGCCTACACAGTGTGACATTACCAAAGAGCCTTCCAGGGCTGACATTCGGCAATGATTTCAACCAGAGCGTGGAGCGGTCGCCTTTTTGGAGGGAGTTATATATGGATATGTGATATGATATATATATATATGATATGATATTGGTATGATATATATGGCTATAATATATGGATATGATATAGTTCTATTTGATATTGATAGGATATACTGATATGATGATATGATATATATATATATATATATACCTATATATGGTTATGGTCATCGTTCATCCTATTATCTATGAATACTTTGTGACTAAGACTTTTACCCCCAATAGGTGGGGTGAAAACAAGTGGGCATAATCTACCCCTGGCTAATTGGTTGGTCCCAACCAGTAGCTCAAGCCACAATGACGACGACAAACAAGACGACGACGACCACGACGACGACTTTCTGGCATATATTCTGTCATAATATCTAACAACCCTCACCTTTTAAACCTACACCGAGGGAACTATGATAACAAGTTTGACACTAAAAAACCTTAAATCCCCCCTAACTTCAACACAGCACCCTTAAAACCACTTAAAGAAATGACGCCTGATACTGGACTGATGCCTGACAAAATGTATATCGTAATTGAACACGAATGTATCTTGGAGATAAAAGCCCAACCTGTCATTTTCTATGACTAAAAACGATAGTGGATAATTAATAGAATTATAATGAATAATTTTATTATTTATTTTGATTTTAATTATGGATAGATGATTGACTTGTAAAGTTCCTTCGCTTCCTTTAGATGTTGTTTCTTTTCCTCTCCTTTGCTTGATGTCCATTTACCATAGACCTCTTGAAACCTTTGATAGTCTCCTGTGTCTATGCTTTTGCTGCTGTTCATCTCTTCAAACTTCTCTCTTATCACTTGTATTCCTACCTTGCTTGGCGATATTGCTTTGTTCATTGTCGGTTTCCTGACTGGTGCTTTTGATGAAGATGACGCCCCTGTTTCTTCGTGTGCTGTCTCTGCTTCATCTACATTGGGTGTCTTGTTGTCTTTGGGGATGTTGATTGTTGCTCCTAATGCTTGTGGTTGGGGTTGCTTTCCTCTTACTCTTCTTGCTTTGGGTGGTTTGGTGGTTGTGGATGGGTCTTCCTGAAATTCTCTCTTCTCCTGCGTTGGCGGTTTTGGTTTCTGCCTCTTTGCTTTGGACTGTCTCACGCTTAAGGGCTTCCTCTTTTCTGCTGTTGGTATTGCGGTTGTGTCCATTGGTTCATTGGCATCGGGCACTACATCCACGTTCATCTTTGATTTTTCCTCCTTTAACTTCTTTTGGTGATTTACCTTTTTGACTTGTTTGTTGATTAGTTTTTGTGTTGGTTTTATCTTGGACGGTTTCTCTTCCTCCTCTTCGTCGGGTATGATGGCGTCTGTCAGTTTTGATGCTATTAGTCCTCCTATTGACCCTCCCTTTGCTGTTCCTCCTGCTGTGGCGACTGCTTTGATGACTGGTTTGGATGATTTAAGGATTTTTTTAAGATGCTTCTACTGCTTGAAGGTGGTTCTTCGTCTTCTTGTATCCCTGCCGATGCTGTTGCTCCAACGGCGTCGTATGCCCCTTTGTTTGCTATATAGTGGTCTTGTGAATGACTTAAGTTTGCTTGTTCTGCTACTCTCCTTTCGTTCTCTTCCCTCAACTCTGCCTCTCTGTCAAAGGACATCTCAAAGTGGCTGATGGCGTCGTCCCTCAAGTCTGTCATATCTTCAAAGTCAAGGTTGGGTGTTTCTTCTTCCTTCCTCGCGGTCGCTTCCTCTGCCATCTTTTTGAAGTTCATTTGTTGTAAGTCTGCTGGGTGGATGTTGTTTGTGTTCAGTGCTTGACCCTGCGGATTTTCCTTAAAAATACCAAGCGTTCCTATCAAAGATTTTTCTGATGTCATTGGTTTTGAACTTTTCCCTGTCTATTTCCTTGATGAGTTCTGCGTAAGTGGGTATTCGTGTCAATCCCTGTTTTGCGTTGATTACTTCTGCTGTCATTGCTATTTATTAATAGTTGAGATTTTTATATTAATCTTGTGTATCGCCTCTCAACCACTGTTTGTATTCATCAATTCTCTGTTTCATATTCTGGATGTTCGCCCCGTAATCTTCCAATCTGTGATTTTTCCTCACCTCCCTCA